TGGTGTTTGGAGGGGTAGTCGGCTAAGTTGAGGGAGCCTGGCGTGTCCCAGCAAAGCACCACCAACGAATGCGACCAACATACCTGTATGAACCTGACAGCACCCACAGCTCCCCAATGCCTTCCCAAGCCAATCACACCAACAACATCCACATCAACACAACTCCGTACTCCTTGTGCGAGGGTGTGTTAAAGTCCCAGTCCCAATGCGACATTGACCCTTATATCCACCAGAAGCACGTCCCACGAAGCCAACCAGTATGACTGCCCGGCTCGCGGGACCGCTACTTAGATGTAGATCCAGCAGATCCTCTAACGGCAATTACCAATGCTAACCGCCGTTCGGGGACAGAAACCACCAAAGCCAATAGCTCATAATTGTTTCTAACCTCCAGTTAAAACCTTAGAGCTATCGACTTCAATACTCTTTACCCCTCTCTTTACTACGGCTTCGGGTTGAATTGGCCAGAATGGGCTCGGGAAGAAAATTGGAGGGCCCCGGAGCAAAATCCAATGGCTGGGAAGAAAATTTACTTAAGGACACTTTTCTTTGTTGGTTGGATTTTGCGCGCCGGGCGACACCGTCGAATTTTCTTCCCGATTCCATGAAGGTTCGGATTTGTCACTCAGTAGAAACTCTACCAGAGCTCTACAGGGAAAGTCGGATTTTCTTCCGGGGCCCTCCAATTTTCTTCCCGAGCCCATTCTGGCCAATTCAACCCGAGGCCGTAGTACCCCCAACGAAATTTTCAAATCTTCCACTACACGGTAAAGGAAACGTGGGTTCAGATTGGTGGTACCAGTACCGATCCACTGGGAGATCTTTTTTGGAACATCCAGCAAACTTTTCTCGAGATACCGTAGCAGAACCTTGCATCGCACTTTGTCCCTCTACTAATAATACAGTAGCCATGACGACACATGATGATCAGACAGCCTTTAAAGCAGAATGCGGTTATCAGTTCAACCAATATCTGAAGCAAGTATTTCCTGATGGTCTTCCAAGGCTCACGAGTACGGACGAATCAAGCAACAAGAAACGCAATTTGGATATTTGGGCAGGACGCCGTTTGAAGTTTCTGCCCAGTCACACCAGTGCCTGGCAATTTGGAACAGTGCAAGCTTTGGAAGAGGTATTCTCGGATAAAGATGACAGTGTGTCGTCATCCTTGTTCATCACCGTCAAGTTGGAGGATAAAGAAGCTGATTCCGCTCTCGTCGATGGGGATTTAGTTCAAATCCAAGGTTCCGAAAACCCGGACGTTGAAGGCATTGTCACATGCATACAACGTAAGCACAAGCACAGGTATCAAGTTGAGATCAGTCGGGATAAGGCGGCAACGATCGGAAAGAAGTTCCTCCGGCAAGTTGTTGAAATCAACAGAGAAATCTGCCGGCTGGATATTGACTCCGGTGGCGCACTCCGAGGCAAACCAAACGTTGACTTGGCAAGTCTTATCAGCTTTGAGTGGCTGGAACCCGCAAAACCTAAAATGGAGAGCATATTACCAACCATAAAAGACTGGACTCCAGACAATGGTATCATTGACATGGACGGGTTGGAAGCAAAACGAGCCGACAATCTACAGTTGCTTTCCTCATTGGCTAGTCGAGTTGGCATGTACTCTGACCTGAGTATGGACCGACAAATTTTCGATATCCCGACGAATCCGCCACTGTTGCAATACTTGGACTCTCTGAGCAGTCGGGTCTTAAAAGAATCCGAAGATTTGAACCGTTTGTGCAACACTCTCATGGAACTGCCTTTGCTGCTTTGGAACTGCTTGGCATTTTTGCCTGTCCTTGGCAAGCTGTCTGAGGGTGCTTTAAAAGTCATGATCTATGTGGTTCAGCATAGACGGCGCAATGGCTGCTTTCAGAAAATGTGGATCTGGATTTGGGAGCACTATGGACCTTCAAATGACCAGTTCAGCTCAGCTCACATTGCCGCCGAGAGTTTTTCCGAGGAGTTCTTCGATATTGAATACACCTGCTGGTTGGCATCGCTGTACAATTCAATTGCTCGTTATCACGAGCGTCTTGGCCATACGGAGGGGCAACTGGTTTGGACAGAGCGTGCAATGAAACTTGATGAGAACAACACCAGGACTGATCTTGCCGCTTTGCACACGATTGCTGACGTCGCCGAACTAAACCTAAAAGTTGGTAACTTTGTGCAGACAATCCAATTGCTGACAACTGGCAACGACTTTTCAATCTTTCACTTCGCAGTGCCGACTAACCGGCAAGGTGCCTTGGACTTGATGATGAACAAGGGCCAATGTGCCAAGGCCTTGCAGCATGAAATCTCGTTCTGGGTAGGGACCTCACACTACGTGCCAGTAAAAAATGGAGAGGCTCGCATACGCAACTTTCAGAAGCTCCTCAGAACAACACATGATGATTGCGGATTTGCAGAAGAATCTTCTGCAAATCTGCACTCAATGTGGACAGGGCTAGGAGGCAAAATGCGTGGCATAGTACCTGACATCTTCACGGTATCCCATGTATCCCCACATCGAGAGCCCGTGGTTTTTTGGAAGGAAGACGCCCAAGCATTTCATTTCGCTGAAGCAGGCACTTTCGCTTCCCTCACTCGGGACGCTCCATTGCATCCATTGGCAAAGCATGGCGAGATATCACAGTTCAAAAACCCCAAAATCGAACTGGCCTACTCGCGAATTTATCACGGGGACTTCGATCTGGAGTGGACCGTTGCATCTGACAACACATTTGTCGCATGCCTTCTTGGCAGACAGCACAAGTGCGGCGACGTGGACACAATTCAATTCAGAGGCCGTTTAATGTTTCTCAAGTTCTATCCTATTCATAAAAGTGCGGAAACTGGGAACACAATAAACAGGTCCGCCCTACTGGTAGACGCCAGCATGTTCAACCAGCACTTTGCTGCTCGGACAACAGAAGAACAGAGATATGCATTGGTGTATCGGGTGCTGCATCTCTTTCTCAGGTTTGAAGGCAACAGGCTGAAGTTCAAGCTTGTCGATGGAATTGCTGAGCGACTGGACATTCAATATCGCAAGAAGAAGTGGTGGAAAGAGGTGCTAGATCTCTCAATAGTCACTGCAGACCTTGCCTGTCTCCTAGGGGAAAATGGAAGAAAACAGCAATTCAAATGGGCCCAAAAAGTTGGGGAAGCACTAGAGGCGACCGGGGCATTCCTTCCAGCTGCAAAACTGTACCGTGAGCTCGCAGAAACCTTCTTTTCAGGCGCAACACGTGCTCCTTGGTTGCATTCGAATTGTGGACTTGCTTACAAACGCGGGGGTGATTTTGCCAATGCAGAAATGCAGTACATCACTGCTTTGCACTGCATCGAAAGGGGCGACGATTGGAAGCTACAGGAAGGACGCACATTTAACACCTTCGAAAACTTGATCATAATGTACGATCAGCTCCACGAAAAATACAACGACCATGCAGCAGGGAGGCTTCTGTCAATACTGTGCGCCCTTCTGTTTCAAGCTGGATTCGCATCTCATGGGAATTGCTTCCTAAGGCTCTATGCTGCCAAGTGTCAACCTACTAAGCGCTTCTTGAAGCGTGAGTTCCGTACTCACAAATCGTCCAAGCGCGCTTTGACAGAAGCCTTTGACCATGCAGATGTACAAATCTTTCGATCCCACTTGATGGGGATTGGGTTAGAAGACGTGTGCACAGTTGAGAGTGCAAGAGTTGTCAAGCCATCCAAAGAATCCCGCAAGGTGGATCGGAGAATTGCTCGAGGTGAGCTGGATTTGCCTAACAAACCTCTTTTCCTGACCACTTGCGCAAACAAGTCCTGCATGAAGAGAGGTATGCAGTTCAAACTGTGCAGCAGGTGTCAGGCGGTGAGTTATTGTTCCAAGGAGTGCCAGCGGGAAGCGTGGAAAGTCCACAGGAAGTCATGTTCCATCAACAAATAGCTCAGACTTCAGCCTTTGCATTGGTGGCTCTCTATCCGCGTGGAACTTCCGGTACTGCAGGCGACTCCAGATGCTGTTAAAAACTTAGCTCTGGCATCAAGCATAGCTGCAGGCCCTGCTCCCGTCCTCTTTGCTCTCCCAGTACAACCCACCACCGCAGCAGCCGCTGCTCTGCCTAGCTTAGCGCCCCCTCGCTCCTTAACGTATCTACTTAGTATTCATTTTTCCAACATAGCTGCAGGCCAAACTTGAGGGAGCTGATGGCTTCATCCATACTGTGAGAGACCCAAGCCATCCCGACCTTGCTATGCCGCTTATACATGTAACGTAATGCCATCCCTCGAGTTCGCATATCAGCTGCAATTTGTTTCCTGTTGTTCCGTGCATGAAATGGTTAGGGAACTGCTCGAATCCACCTTTCTCCAGACTCTTGGTCACTTTCTCGAGTGCCGATTCGACTTGATTTTGCTGCATCGTCACACCCACGTACGATAGCCATTCATGTCCTTGGACAACGCCCTTGTCGCAGGGAGTGCTGATATGAAGGACTCCACCCTCCTCTTTCGATACTGCTCCAAAAGCATTTTTTGCGTCGAGAGTCGAGATGAGATGATCCAACGAGTTTCGGTGCGACCCCCCGTCACTTCTATTTGTTGCCCAATACATGGCCGGAAGATCTTCAGAGATACAGTAGTGCTACATTTAGTTCTTGACGTGTTTGATGCCAACGAGACTGCGCCCTTGATGGCAAAAGCTGACGTGATTCCAAAGTACCGGACACGAGAATGGAAGCCTCAATATGTTACCTTGGCTGTGATCGACCAGCGGGGTCCATCATCCCTCCCAGTTCTGGCTGCTGTCCCGTTGGTGTCGCTAGTTTCACTGATTAAGAAAATGCCTGACGAAGAAGCCACGACACCATCCTCCAAGTAGATTCTACGTGCCTCCAATTCGTCTTCGACAGCCAGTCGATGTGCCATGTCCTTTGCAGAGGCTGTCACCTGAAAGGAATACCGCGAGATACTCCCATTACTGTCTCCCTCCATGACATACCCATTTTTGCCTCCCGTCATGATGAGCTTTTGAGTGGAGAACTTGGTGTTTTGATGTGTCTTGCTGATGATTGTGCGGATGTAGCGCGTCACGGCTTGTGCTCGTTGCGTTTGATCTCCCGTATAAAACTCCAGTCCCCTTGGCTCTACTTGTAGTGTGTCTTCACCTGATTTCGCTTCTTCCTGTTGCCGGATAGCGTCCGCATCTTCCGCAATGGCAGCTTGAATATCATGCATCGAATACCAGAGCTCTTCCGTGGAGTCTACCAGATTGACGGCAGCGGGGTATTCGTGTCGCTCTTCTTTCATAGAAGCAAATCTCACACGCTTGGTGGTGCTTCCCTCGAGACGAAGGACAGAAAGGCTCCGAGCGCTGATACCCGTCACCAACTCGGAGAGCCGTCGTGTGGGTACCACCATCGTTTTGTCGACAATGTCACCCGTCTGCTTGTGGACTGTGCTGAGCATGATCACTTCACTGAACTATATACCTGATCCAATATCACTCTCTTGTACTGTAGTTCGTGAAGAGAAAAGCACGTTGATCTTTGCGAGGGAGTGGTGGGTCTGCCTTGACTCGACTCTTATGGTAATAGCTGGCTACAGGTGATCCATGATTGTGTGTGTTCTTCTGCAAGCGCGGGAAGAAGTGAAAGTGCCAGGTAAAAACACTGTCATAAAAGCGAAAGATACCGTTTGGTTCCACAGGGATTCTGCGAAGTACGGTGTGACACTAAAGGATTTAAAGACACTGCGACCCCCTGATCGTCACCAACAATACTACGGATTCGGATTGAATTGACCGCACAGGCCTTCTCTCAGAAATTCGACCACCTCCCTGAAAAATTCGACCACCTCCCTCAAGAATTCAAGGGTTCCCTCAAAAATCCGAGAGCTTCGGCAGGGATCCTACCGGTACCATCACAAAAGCACGACAGCAGCACAAAGCCCAGCCATCAGCATAAGCACAGCCAAGCAGTCAGTCGGCCACTGTCATAGTATCATTGTTTGTCATTGTCTACTCTTTCTAGTCTCCTTGTTGTCATCATGAGTGGTAGTCACAAGCAAGCTTCGCGCCGCAGTGCTGTTGATGAAGACTGGGAGCGCCCAACAACCTTTGGTGGCTCAAATGGAATTCCCCGCTTTGAGATGCCACCGACTGATCCTTCTGATGATGATCTGCTCAAAGAGCTAGCCAAGAAGCGCACCTTGAATTGTTCTCTGCAAGAGAAAAAGGATCGGCTTGTGACTCCAATTGTGGATCAGCGAGATGATATTTTGAAGACGGTCAAGAAGAAATTGCCAGGTCCGAATCCAACCACAAATTCACCCATTTATGATGCATTGGATCGAGCCATCCCCAAGAGCTTTGCCAAAACAGCGAACGGTGAGAAGATGGCCAAAGCTGTACTTGGGATGTACAGTGCGCTGAATGCCTGTATTGAAGTGTTGGAAGAAGATGGTGCTCGTGTACCTCGACTTTTGTCTCGTCACTTTGAGGAATTGAAAATAGCCATTGACTCTGCTACAGCTAATTTCCAAGCCGATGCTCTCTCCAAATACAGCAGTGTCTTTGTTGCACTGACGACACAGCAGAAAGAACGGTGCTACAAACAAAATGGATTCCTTCCGACTGATGAAGCCCATCGCATTTGTGTCGGCTGCAAGCACCAATTTGTGGATGAACCCGACACCAACAAAACTGTGGCAGAAAAGAACAAAGTCAACCGGAGAGCCTTTGAAGAGAAGAAGAAGCAGGCAGAGGAAGAGGCCAAACAAAACAAGACTAAGCCGAAACGTATGCTCGCCCCAAAAGCAGAGCAGCAATACCGACAATGCCATTGCTCACAAATGCGCTGCTTGAGCCCCGACAATGATGTTGGCTCTTCTTGCCCGATTCGATGCATCAACCCTGAAACCAATCAGAAATACGGCAAAGATTCTAGCGGTGTTTGTGCTTGCCCAATCTGCAAATGCACATGCAACATTGCTGTCACGTACAATGCCTCCCATACTCTAGACACAATCCAGTTGTTGAAAGATTGTGGCATTGAGCGAAAAGAAGAGCTTGAAGCTGAGAAGGGCCGTTCTCATTTGTCTTTCCTTGTGGACGAGGCATGTAGTACATCGATGCGTGCCACGGCCAACAGCGGTATTCCGGAGAAGCAGCGGCAAAATATGGCGACAACTGCAGCAGCCAAATCTCTAACTCGCAATTTCAATCCTACCCATCATCGGGCATTTGTCAAGGAAATGCGAGAAAAGATCGGAAAGCCAACAACAACCGTAACTTTGCCAGCTCCCATCCTCATAGGTGGAAAACTCACGAGTGTTGGTCAGTCATGATTTCCTGTTATTTGCCACTATGCTCATCATGTACCAGCTAACATTTTGGTTTTCTTACAGCTGATACCCGCACCATTTCTACCAATTTTAGTGGACACCGACAACGAAACAATCGATTGTCGGAAGGCGCTGCCTCTGCTCAGCTACCACTCCACCCTTATTTGGATGCCTACGCTCTGATGGATGCGGCAAAGACGAGTGGAATACTTGGCGGCCAGAACTCCCAGGAAGAAGAGGTGGAAGAACAGGATTCCGATTCAGACTTCCTGCAGGCAATTCAGAATAGCCTCCGAGATGAACGATCAGTAACTCGGTCTCCACAATTGACACCGCCTCCCAGCAGCAGCAACGTTGTTGTTCTTTTGGATTCTACGCCTCGTTTTGGTCGTGTTGCCCAGCCACCTCCAGCCGCAAATAGTGCTGAAAAATTCAAGACTCGTGTCAAGCGCCGTGCATTCCTACGGTCTCAGGAAACCGCCGAAGTTTTTGATTCCGAGAAGGCTGGTTCCCCGGAACTCCATGCCAAAAGTCCGTACTCTCTCAAAGTGTTCCAAGCATTGTCTGGTTCTGGCAACGCAACTGTGACGGAATACACTGATATGTACCATGAAACGAATCCCGAGGCTGACAGCCAGGAGGCTTACGAACATGTGAGCAATATGATGCGTACTCTGGATGGAAAAAAGCAGAAGCGATACCACTAGACATTAGCCAGCTAGCTAGCTAGCAAGGGGTGTTTGGTACAAATAGAACTAAAATAAAATGAAACGTTGATGGTGAAATGAACTCGTCTTGGCTAGCTAGCTTAGGGGGCGTACCCGCAGTGAGCAAAGTATCCGTCAAACTCTCCATTGGCCCGTTGGCAAATCTGGTAGATGGCTTGTTCTAGCTCCTGGCCTGTGGTCACGTTGTGGAGTTCCAAAGAAAGCTGTTGCTGAATGTAATTGAAAAAGTACTCGATAGGTCCATCCCAGGGATTGTAGGGAGCCCGGAAGACAAGTCTATGGCCATTGCTATTGAGGAGGTAAGCAATCAAAGGACTGTGGTGGGCAGCAAGATTGTCACAAATGAAAGTACATGTGTTCCCACCACCTCCAACACCAATCCCGCCAGGACCGTTGATAATGTCCTCAAGAAAGTCATGCGTATCCATTACAGATGTGCCAGCTCGAAGAGCAAAATTCACAAAACAGCCACCACCAGGGCCACCACGAATTGCAGCAGTCAAAGTATATTTTTGGGAGTGGTTGTAGGGGCCTTCTTCTCTAGCTCTTGAACCAATAAAACATTTGCCGTATCCTCGGTTTGTTGTTTCCACCCAAACTCCAGCCTCATCCCAATCAATGATAGTACTGCGACTAGTACCAGCAATTCCAGTGGGATATGGATAGTTCCAAAATGCGTGCCGCTTGGCAAGGTTGATTGGGAGGCTGGCCTGATACGCAGTGGTGGAGGCTCTCTTTCGAGAAATGCCGAGATAATCTTCTGCTTCTGTGATTTGAGATTCCGAATAGAATCGGTACTGCTGGCCAGGAAGAGTAGTAGCAAAAAGAAAGGCATTGATTTCTGCTGCTGTTGCCTTTGGATAGCACAACCGGTAAAAGGAAAGCATGAGTAGCTGGTGTCCTTTGAGTACGGTTGCTGGATTATTGCCATTCATTTCGTAAGGGTGGAGATGTCCTTCTTCATTTACTCGCTGGTGCCACCGTCTCGTGGTTCGTTTGCTGGGATGTAGCTGGAGCTGCCGAAGATGGTCAAGTGCTGGATTATTTTCTTCTCCCATCACACGCAATGCCACAGCAGCGGTTCGTTGGGCAACATCATATCCACGGGTTCCACCTCTTGATGGATGAGGGCGCAGGCTGGAATCTCTGATGGTACTTGGTGCCGGGCGCTCCTTGGGATTTTTTGTTGGTGCCATGATGATCAAAGAGCACCGGCGATCGGCAGCAGAAGCAACAGCAACAGCAACAGCAGCAGCAGCAGCAGCAGTAGTAGTAGTAGTAGTAGTAGTAGTAGTAGTAGTAGCAGCAACAGTTGTTATAGTTTTGTCCTTGCTCCGGAGGAGTCGAGTCCTTGCATGCATGAGTGTGGCACGTCGTGCTGTTGAATAGCATGTAAAAAAGCAGCCAGAGCTGGCTGAGGTCGAATTTTTGAGAGGAGCCTCGGATTTCTGAGAGAAGCCTCCAATTTCTGAGAGAAGGCCTTTGCGGTCAATTCAATCCGAATCCGTAGTACTATTATTTAATTTTCCAAATAAATAGAATTCTATTTTTTTAAGGCTACTCTGAGTACGACTATCCACCGTGCCGCTACCCTAAACCGATAACCCCCACAAACATTGGGGCGGAGAGAGTTGGCCCCCTCAGCCGGGAAAGTTTAAAACAATACTATTATTTAATTAATAATAGATGGGGTTCAGCTAAAAGCTGAAGTTCAAGAAATGAGGAATAAGCAAAATTGAAATTGTGAGAGATAGGATAATGAAAACTTGAATTGTGAGGAATCAGAATTGAAAAATTGAAATTGTGAGAAATCAACAAAATTTGAATTGTGAGGAATCAGAATTGAAAATTGGAATTGTGAGAAACCAGGAAAATTGGAATTGTGAGGAATCGAAAATCGAAAATTGGAATTGTGAGAAATCAGGAAAATTGGAATTGCGAGAAACCAGGAAAATTTGAATTGTGAGGAATCGAAAAACGAAAATTTGAATTGTGAGAAACCAGGAAAATTTGAATTGTGAGAAACCAGGAAAGTTTGAATTGTGAGGAATCGAAAATCGAAAATTATTGAATTGTGAGAAATCAGAAAAGTTTTGAATTGTGAGGAATCAAAATTGAAAATTATATTGTGAGAAATCGAAAATTTAATTGTGAGAAATCAGAAAATTTGAATTGTGAGGAATCGTTTTTGGAATTAGAATTGTGGAAATTTTTTGAAAATTGGAATTGTAGAAATAGAAAATGAAAATTGAATTGTGAGAAATCTGCGAAATTGGAATTGTGAGAAACCAGGAAAATTTGAATTGTGAGGAATCGAAAATCGAAAATTTGGATTGTGAGAAACCAGGAAAATTTGAATTGTGAGAAATCGGAAATCCAAAATTTGAATTGTGAGAAACTAGGAAAATTTGAATTGTGAGAAATCAGGAAAATTTGAATTGTGAGGAATCGGAAATCCAAAATTTGAATTGTGAGAAACCAGGAAAATTTGAATTGTGAGAAATAGGCTAAAATTGAATTGTGAGGAATCGTTTTTGTGAATTAGAATTGTGAGAAATCAAAAATTAGAATTGTGAGGAATCGGCAAAATTGGAATTGTGAGGAATCGTTTACGATAATTTGAATTGTGAGAAATTGGTAAAACTGGAATTGTGAGAAATCGAAAATTGAAATGGTGAGGAATCTGGAAAGTTGAAATTGTGAGGAATTGTTTTAGAAAATTATAATTGTGAGGAATCGTTTTTGAAAATTAGAATTGTGATGAGTCCGGAAAGTTGAAATTGTGAGAAATCGTTCTTGTTATTGGAATTGTGAGAAAAGGCAAAATTGAAATTGTGAGGTACTTTTACGGTACCGTAGGGGGAAAAGAACAGTCAATGATCCCCAATGAGCCGTACGGTACCGGTATCTCTTCACATACTCGAGAGCTTACTCGAGCACGTTTCTTTGAGTTTTCTAAGGGTGTGAAAGGTAGGTCAGGTCCTCAAAGGGAGGTCATGGCCGGGCAAAGGATTCTGCTCTGCCTGGCAACAGTTTCATAGCTACGTGTATGAGCTATGAGCTCTGAACTTGGCTTTGTGAAATGTATGGCCACTGTCAATCAAGTTCCATTATTTGCCTTTTTATGACGATGACTACCGGTACATGTATCTGTGCATGTATTCGAGCTTCGGCAAATCATTCTCTGTACTGTTCAGTCAGGGTAGCCGATTGAATTGAATTGAATTGAATCGAATCCTACCTACCGGTATGGAAGCCACCCACGCAGAATTTTCAAACTAATCAATCGTTGTCGTCTTGGATTCACCGAAGGCGAAACAGGACGTCTTGTTGGAGCCTCCAGGAAAAGCTATTGGTTGTTGCTTTCTAGAGTTTTTTAGCCATTTCAAGAACCTTTTAAACGACACTTAGCCAAGACCTGTATTGTTGTAGTCCAACAACACCAACTACTTTGCCACGCTCAAGCAAGCAAGCTAGCTAACTAACTATACCGTCTGTGTCGTTTTCGTCGTTCGGCATCTGTCATTTCCGCAGGATGCGTCTTGAGATTGAGCGCCGCCACACGAAACGACTGATTGTCGTTTCGTCGCAACTCGTAGAGGATCCCATCATTCTGATAGGCAAAATAGATGCGTGTCCCATCCGGTGTAATGGCAATCCCCGTGGTTTCCGGTTGAAACAAGTTGGATTCACACAATACATAAAAGTTGCCGTCACTGTCGCGGGCATGAATCCCCGCACGGTCTCCTCCATCTTCGGTAAATAGGAGGAGCGTATTATCGCCGTTGTTGTCGTCTAGTAGATTGCGCAAAATATCGGGCTGTCCTTCAAAGAGACCGCCCAGTGTGGATTTTTGCACATACGTCGCCGCATCCAAATCGAGTTCAAACACGGTATGCCGCACCTTGCTGACAAAAAAGAGCATGTTGCCGCTGACATCAATGCCTTCACTGTTGGGGTAAAACGCCCGGGCATTCTGCCCCGCGACATTCTTGTCGGTAGTCCAAAAGAAGGTTCCATCGGCCGGATTGAGCAGTAGATATTCGGTTTGTCCCGGCCCCAGCAAGACTTCCCATGGTTTGTTAAAGTCGGGAGCATCGGGAGTGAATCGTCGGAGTGGCCCCCACGACGTGTCTTCGGTAATGTAGAAACGGGGTTTGGCTATAGTAATATAGAACAAGAGAAAGAGTGAGACGAAGGTGGCATTTTGTTTTCTTTTCTTCCTGCAACGCTCTGCCAGCTACTTGTTTGTTCATTACGTACATGGATTCCGAATATCATAGGCAAATGCTTCAAAGACACCACCGTCACTACCGAGAGTAATGGGTTGAGCCGGTGGCACACGGACACCGGTAGGATCCACTTGCCAACAGTTGCCATTTTCTTCATCAAAGTCTTCTTCACACGAAATCCAGGCTCCAAACCATGTCTTGCCACCATTACAGTTCATGGTGGATCCCGTTAGGACGCGACGATAATCGAGAATCTGTCCTTGTGCCGTAAATGTCAACGCTCCCACGCCACCATTGTGATGTGGGACTTCGGAATTGCTGACATAAATGTAGCCACCGGGATTGGATGGACGAGGATCGGGAACAATAGTGGCGCCATCGGGGCGGGCATGAAAGGGTGTAGTGGAAAAAGTGCCACCATCCGTATGATAGGGCACTTTGTGACCGGAAATGGCAACGATCCGCGCCGTAATACCGTCGGCTAGAAAGAGACCATTGTCCAGTGTGTTCAATCCAAAGCTGGCATCGGACGGTGGTTGGAAATTGGTAAAGGTATTGATGGTTAGTGTTTCTCGTGCCACAGCCGTGTACTCTCTCTCGTTGTCATTACTGTCACTGGAGGAGTTGGTGTATGTGTCTTGAGCATTATTGGGAGTGATGCCTTTGCGCAATTGTCTCGATGTCAGAGTGGTGTTGGCGTTCGCGTTATCATCAGGGGTGGTCTCAAGTAGTTGTCTGGATACAATGCCCTTATAGCGAGGGCTCTTCTGCTGTGCATGTGGTGACCAAGCTCCTCTTACTAAATAAAACGCTCGGAACGAAGCCAGAGCAATGGTGATGGCCGCTGCCAGGAGAGACTTTAAGAAGTTTCTATTGCCAAGATGGTACCTCATTTTGGTTGTTGCATGCATCTGTTTTGTGAAGAACAATCGAATGAAGTGAGACGGTCCCTCCAACAAGCCAATGGAGCATAAGGGAGATATGGCTAGTCACATAGCTGATTATTATATAGATATTCAGGACCGGTTATATATACCACTCTGTGACACTCCCACCACTGATCTTCCAAGTAAATACCGAACTTGTTAAACCATACTCGCGAATAACATAGACGCACAGAAGATCGCCGGATACGGAACTGAAACTTTCAAGGGATCGCTGACGAAACAACCAATCGCTGACTGACTGGATCGCTGACTGACTGACTGACTGACTGGATCGATCCAACCACATCCTCGCACAAACTCCGGAACAGCAGTTACTCGTTGTCATCGTCAGTCAATCAGTTACTCGTTGTCGTCGTCCTCTTCATCACTGGAGTGCTGAGTTAGGCGTTCGTGAAGAAGGGAACGGCGAACATTGGCCTTCGATGTTCCACTAGAACAAGAGCCACTTGAAGAACCAGCGGGTGTCAGAGCAGAATTAATGTCAATGGGAGTACCAGAGCTGGAACTGAAGGAAACAGAAGAGTCAGTTCCACAATGGGGACTACTGAAGAGATGAGCACTCTTCTTGCGAACTTCCGCGGGTGGCAGCTTAGCAACAGGAAGCTCTCCATCAATCATCACAGGATCTTGACCAGTTCCACGACCACTACTGCCCCTGGACTGAGCAGACAACGGAGGAAGTTGGTGTCGCTTCCCGGATCCAACAGAGTTGGTGGGAGTCCCACGCTTCTTACTACCAGGAGTCGTTTGCGAGCGATTGTCCGTACTGCGTGGCGTCGAAACAGATGGCTTTGCAGCAGGCTTTCGCTCCTCTTCTTCCATGTCATCATCGTCATCCACATCGTCATCCACATCGTCATCCTCATCGCCATCGTCTTCATCCTCGACTTCTTCTTCTTCGCTGGCACTATCATTGTCATCTTCCTTGAACAGGTCACAGTCGGCAGAGTCATCGTACGCCGAATCATCATCAGATGGGGGATCGTTGAGCCACTGAGGAATCATACCGGAGCGATGCATGGTATGGTTCAAGTAATTGTCGGGCGTTCGGCAAAGGTATCCAAGCCGATGACTTTCGTCGCGACGAGACTCAATGTCGGCGTCTGTAAGCCGAACCAAAGGAAGGCATGTCAGTCCCTCCCAGGGGTATGTTGCATCAAACCAAAGCTTGCGACGGTGGAACTCAAACCGGGACCACTTCATAGCCTTGCAGATAACACGCCAATGGCGAGGCTGCGAGGTAATTTCCGCGAGAAAGATTCGAAGTTTCTCCTTGAAGATGGTGGAATACTCCGCAGGGACTCCACAAAGATCCAACTTTCCACCAACAGGAGGCAAGGGATAGTCACCCTCTTGACCATGATAGAAGGGGTATTGCTCCAGCTCCTTTTTCTTGTCGTAAATCCAGGCAATGGTCATGTCAAGACTGTCACGACAGACATCATCAAACTCTGACCAGCCACCAAGCACACGTTCGGGCAAGTCAATGCGTTGTAGGGTGCCAGGTAGGAGATGCGCAGCACGAAGCCAATAGAGACCATTATGAGTCTTCTCCTGTTTGCGAATCAAATCAGTGATGGCTGCATCCGAAGCTTCCGGTGGTGTTCGAGAATCTTCTTCCTTGCCCTTTTCGAACTACCTCAATTCCATGCTCGCCAACTCCTTTTGCTTCCATTCTTTGGTTGCTCTCCGTATTCATTTCATTATATCGCATTGGTTTGAAAGGTGCGCCAATTGGTTGGCATACCGAAAATTTGGTTCGGTGGGCTGGTTTGGCGGGAGAATATTCCAGGAGCTCCGTTTTGACTTGGTTTTCATTCCATCCAGTGAAGAAACAGCGACCATGAGGTTAGTGGTTTTGTTTTGTTGCTTTTGTTCCCTTTTTCCTTTGTTTACTAACCTTTTGTGTTGCTCTCTTACTTCTCTTGACAGACTGGCTAGCGGTTTCACAGGCAAGCAGCAGGAAGCAAAAGAGTCCCTTTTCGAGTCCAGTAGAAGCGTCGTCATTTCTTCCTGGCTCTTCTCACCAAACACTCCATCCTCGACACAATGGCGGTTGCAACTATTTTGGGTGCGCATATGAAACTCCAGCTACAATGCTGGTGTCTTCAACAACACTGGTGTCTTCAATTTGCCTGTGTCAGCATTTTTTCTTCCTATTTTCCAAGTCCCATTGTTTCCCATGGTTTCGCCTTGCGAGACAACCTATTCACCACACCACAAGCAGCAGCATCTGGCTACCATCTCTTTTGGGTTACTTCCTGGTTTCATTCCACAGTCGAGATGATCTCCTTGCCATGTGTTGGTTGCTGTTGTGCTGTTGTGTTGTTGGTGCGGCGCCATGGCGTACATGTCCGCTTTTCCTTCTAAGTTTGTCGCAATCGCGATATCGCATCGGTGTAAGTGTCTTGGTTCGTGACTGGACTGCGTATTCTCCTTGAGTGTTGTCTTGTGCTCTTGGCTAACTCCGTCTTTTTCTCTGTTAAATCTCACATGTTTTATTTTTATGTGTTAGGGACTGGTTGGCCTCATGTGTGTCGCCAGGAGTTCCTGGGGTCCAAGCCAATGTCCATCGGCGATTGATTATTATGTGCATCCGACCATTCCTGCGTGAGTATCCATGACTCGGCGTCCAAACGGAAGCTATTGGCTTTTCCTCTTCATTATTCAACCCACACCACACAAAACACAATCCACCATCCAACACTTCCAACGCCACTGCACTATTTTAGTCTGCTTCATTCTAGCTAGACACTTCTATAACTACAGTACTACTACCATTTCAATTACAACAATAACAACAACTAACAAACAATGCCCGTCGCATTTGCATTGGGCGCCGCCAAGGCAGCGGAAGCGGCTGGATCCGCCGGAGCCACCATGGTGGGATTGGGCATGGGCAAGACGGATTTGGATTTGACCCGTGATTTGTTCAAACTCCAAATGCGACAAGCCAAACGCCTTTGGACGGCCGATTGGGCCGAAGCAAGTGTACGACATGGAGAATCGTGTATGCAGTCGGCCCAACAGCATTCCGAATCGCAAGCGGTTGCCATGGCCACGTATTTTCAAGCCGAACGATTGACGACTCAATCGATCAAGTTGGCGCGAGATCAAGATTCCCGGGCATACGAATTATCGTGGCGTGCCGAAGTCCGAGAATCACTGAGGGACGAATTGGCCAATCAGAACAATCGATTCAATATTATCATGTTGTGCGATACGGTCTGTCTCAGTTGTGTCTTTTCGTTGATTGCCGATGGCAGTCCACCTACAAGTACACCGTTGATTATGCTCAATGTCTATGTCTTTGGTGTGGGCTTGTCGTGTACCCTCTTTTCCATTTCACTCTGGTGTTCGGTTATTGTCGTGCGACGATTGCACGAACACACGGCGTCGATATTAGAACGCAAACTATTTTGTTTGAGTGACGATTTACAAACGGCGTGGAAACTCCAATTGGCACAAGGATTGCCGACCGGCCCCAATGAAATGCTACTCGTCAATCAAGCCTACGAACGATGGGTGAATGAGTACATTGATCCTTTGGGTAAACTCGCGATTCATCTCATGTCCATGGGCGTCGTGGCCATGTTTGTCACGGCAGGATTATTGGTGCATAATCAATACTTACTGGAGTATGAGGCACCCAGTGCCATTTTTATTTTTTGGGCGACCGTCGTGGTGACTTCTGGCACGGTGCTATTTATGAAATTTTCCGAAGATTCCATGGAGAAAAAGAAACAAGGCGTCTACGATATTTCCTGGCAAGATGGACACAATCTAGAGTCGGGTCCGTTTGCCAAGATTATTCGTGCGGCCGAAGAATTGTTCAGTACCGCGGCACAACAATTGGGATCCACCGAGCGGATGGAATCACTAAACACGAGAGAACGGGCGGAACGCAATTTCTGTGCCAAGACGAAATCGTTGCATCATCGCGTCACATCGCTGCGACACGAAGCGGAACGACGGTCTCAAACACGACAAGAAGTACTGCAGCTATTGACGACGGCCGCCGAAGAATTGGATGCTCTGCCGGAGGAATTGACATCGAGACTCAACAAGATATTACACGACATTGACGAAGCCGATGCCCGGACGGCCAATCTCGTCACGATGCAATCGGAACACATTCGAGAAGCCAGTCAAAAAGAATTTAGTCGGCTGCAACGCAGTCATCCCCGTGCGACCATGGCAACGGCACCGATTGATGCCCAGCGGATACCGGTGGCACTGGGATCGTTGCGCAAAAAGTTGGGAGAAATGCCCTTGACGACATTATTGCGCGTCCGAAACTTGTCGGATGAACCCCTGCGACTCAAAAGTGGATTGCAGTTGAAAACGGGAAAGTACATTCAGACACTCAATGCCCAGGACAAACACGACAATGCCGTCAACTATTACTTTTATCCCGTGTCGGAGATTCCATCGCGTGCCGAAGTGGTCATTGTCGCGCGCAGTGGCGGGTCCAATTGGATTCCCACGTCGGGGATTGATGGAGAGATTGTCTATGAGAATCGAGACGAGACGTGGTCGTTTCGGATTGTGTTTCGGAATGAACTGGTCAAGAATAAGCGTCGATGTCACGTCCAGGCAACTCATGTCGGTGCCAGCAGTACTCACGATGACGCAGATGATACTCATGGTTCGTCGTCTGAAGACGATGCGGCAGAACAATACTGGCAAATTCGACGGGATGAATTGGATCGCAAAGCCAACAATGAAGTCTTGGTGACCATCGATGGGTGGCGAGGCGGGGATGCCCGAAAGGCGGCACACGACCATCGACGATCCAGTGTGTCACTCAAGAGTGGATTTCTACTCAAAAATCGACCCTTTGGATTGCGGTTGCATTGGCAGCAACGATGGTTTGAGCTGACTCCGTTGGAGATTTTGTATTCCCAGGACATGAATAGCAAGCAAAGCAGTTCCATTAAAATCAAGGATATCACAAGTGTCCAGCCCGGCTTTGACCTGGTGCACAAGAATGTGTTTGAGATACACGTCAATAATCGCGAAGCTTACAAGCTTTCGGCCGGAACACTCCAAGAACGGGATCATTGGATGCAGCAAATCTTGGAGGTTGCTGGCCTCCATGATGATGATATGGCAGACATTGAAGCGAACGTGACAAGCGAAGATTCCGCTGGAACTCCTAGTCAACAAGGTTTTGAGTGCTATGTAAGTGACAGGGGAACGGAATTTATGCAGGTATGATGCACGTGAGGGCAATAGTCCCCAGTCGTCTTTAGGAGATGCACTGCATTTCACATCTCCGAACAATGACACTGTACGCAGTCAACAACAAACAAACGAAGAACAAACAAAGAACGCTCATCGAGATGGCCAGGGATGTTTCGACGGAGCAGTAGAGTTGGGCTTTTGCAAAGCAATCATCTGCTCACCCCCTCGAGAACTGTAGCTTGATCAAGTAGAACAAATTGTCTTTGCTGATGCATCCCTATTCTGCCAGTTGCATCATGCCTGCAGTGAAGATCGGAGAGAGAGAGAGAGAGAGAGTGGCAAGGCAGTGCAACCAATACTAAAATAAAACAGTAGGTAGCTAGTCACGAGTTTGTTGCTATGTATGCTGGGCAGCTGCTGGCTCTACCCACTGAATTCAATAGGATGACTCAAACCAAAGTACGGGGTATCATAGGCGTCTTTGTAGAATGTTTGACACTCGATCCAATTCGGTAGACTGGACTCTTCCCACAAAAGGGAAGAGACAGGTGAAAGCTGGTGGATCAAGTTTTAGCTATTCAAGTCATATGGACACGAAAGAGCTTCTACAGTATTGTTTATTGCTTTCGTTTCTTCTTTTTGTGCTTGCTCGCTTCGCCCTTTTTACCACTGGCTCCGTCCTTGGAGGATCCTTTCTTTTCATCAGCATCATCATCCTTTTCGCTCTTCATATCTTCAATATCTTTTTCATTGTTGCTGTCATTGTCCAGTGAATCATCGTCCTCTTCTTCATCCCAATTCTACAGTAGCAAGCAATGTTTGGATAAAAATTTTGGATTGTCAGTACGTACGAATGCAACCAAAAACAAAGTTGCAGTATTATGCATCCATCCAACCATTCAATAGACAGTACATACCTTTTTTGGATTGAGCAGCAGATCCTCCTGCATGGCAGCCCATTTGCTGGTGGACTTGTTGTTTTTAGAGGATGATTCCTCCTTGTTCTTGTTGCCAGTTGTATTGGCGGCTGCCGCAGTCTTGATCATATCCAAGAATCCATGTTTGGTCATTTTCTGTACCTCCTTGTTCTTGACATGTGTCGTTTCTTCTTGCTTTTTCTTTCGTTCTTGTTGATGTTGTGCCACAGCGTTAAACAGTGCCACTACACCTCGTGTGGCCACACGTCGATGGAGTCGTTCTTGTTCCAATTCCTGGGCGACACTACTTTTGCTGTCTTCATTTAGTGTCAGAGACGTGGCCACGGAAAGGGGAATGTGGAGTGCCGGCAGTGGTTCTTTTTCTTTGCCTTGTCGCTTGTCTTTGCGCTGTTGTGCCTCTTCTTTTTCTTGCTGTAACTGTCGTTGGAGGGGTGTGGTGGTTTTGGACAAGACGGCTGACGACTTTTGTGTGGAAGTTGTTCCCAGAATTTTGGCCATGGCATTGGCCATTCCCGCGGCTCCCTGTTTGTGTTTATTGTCGAAAAAATCGTCCTCTTCTTCACTTTCCGAATCTTCTTCATCTCCAACGACACCTTCATCATCATCGTCATGTTTTGCCTCAGTTTGTGCATCCTCTTCTTCCTCATCTGATGATTTGTGTTCCACCTTCTTTTTCTGTTTGGTCATTTTTGCCTGTTTCTTCTTTTTCTGTTTCTTGGAAGAGCCTGCTACTTCCTCTTGGTCAGCATCTTCCTCATCACTGGAGGATGCCAAACTCACAACTGCTTCATCCTCTTGATCATCATCATCCACTCTTTTCTTTTGTTTGCCATTATGTTCCCCTTCCTCATCACTGGATCCAGCAAATCGATCCAATTCTCGTTCGTCAATTTCAAGTTCCTCTCCCTTTTTAAGCTTCTTCTTCTTGCTAGCTTTGGAATACTGATGTTGTCGTTTATTATTGTTCTTGCCCGCCATGATTATGTAGTTGGAGGTTGTCTATGGACTAGCTAGCTATTGATGGCAAGACCTTGTTGTGCTGTGGTGTGCTCTGTCAAGAAATAATGAACTGGAAAAAATGAAGCTGGAAAGTTGGTTGGACCGCGAACAATGTCACGGTCGAATGGCAGACCTGAGCACTATCTGAGCCTCAACCATCCTTGCTGGCTTTTATTTGGAAGAGCACCCAGCAATAACAATCCGCAGCAATCACCACAAACCATTCCAAGCATTGGGATGACTGTGGTGCCTTCGATCTCTTCCGCTACTAGTCTTGCTCCTTCGCTCCTCCCTGCCCTCCTGTCTTCCCCCCTTTCCTTGGTTTCCATGTTGCCCTGCTTGCACCCTTGATTGCTTGCCTTTCGTTCCTGCATCGTGCCCTCCCCTCGCGCTCTGTCCCCATCCTCATCTTAGCTCTCTCTAGATTATCCATAGTAACTTTCCTTTGTCTTACTGGTACCAGTAAGTTCGGCAAAATTAATGGAAGGTTCTGCAGCTCAAATGGATGACGAGGAAGACTCAAAAATGGAACCTTCTGCAGCTCAAAAAATGGATGATGAGGATGATTTGATGGATATCGTGGCTGCCAGGAGCCGTGGGGACATTAGAGAGGCAGAGCTCAGAAAGCTGGAAGTGTTTGAATTGGAAACGCAACAGAGAGAATATGAGCAGGCACAGGAGGAGGAAATGGGCAGGTCATTCCAGTCATCGCAGAAACATCCCAACCCAACAGGCGACAACTCCATGTGCACTACGCTAAAAGCTAGTGTAAAGATCTTTCGAGTGTTTTGAGTTTGAGAGAATGAAAGTTATGAGAGGATTAGAAAGCTATGAAAAACTAATCAACGAGAGAGATCCACAATCAAAGGATCGTAGATCTGAACTCCCGCGGGAGACTGTAGAGTGTGATAGAGTAGGTTGCGGTAGCAATCCTACTCACTCCACGATCCAAAAACGGAACGCGTGGAAGATTCGTCTAGCATTTATCTAGTAGCGTGGAAGTACTCCACGCTGGCTAAATATCTAGAGCGATGTTTCATCATCAACCTAGTATGACTAGAGCGGTCATTGAGAACCCTGTCTCGATGACTATTCACGAGAGACTCAGTCATGAGTCGAACTCAAACCCTATCTAGGATCGAGTCGCGAATAAGGCTAAGAGCCGTGTATTGCATTCGCCCCCTGACAAGGGTCACGGAAGGCACGACATCAGTCGGACAAGGAGAACATATGAATTAAAGTGCGGGGCACTCTCCGGAGATTGGATGTAGACATGTGCATCGCACGATGGCAATCCTACAAGGGGATCAGGCCTTGTATGGGTGTAAATACCTTATGTTCCAAGTCTGGTAGACTGTGCCGCTACTGGTGGTAGTATGTCAGAGCCGTACAGTGCCATTGTTATTGACTCGGTCTGTGTGGTAAGGACCTTGTGCGTTGGCTGACCGTACTAACGGTTTGGATACTGATGAATCATCATAGTATCGTTCACATGGTGTTGATGAGGGATACGTGTCATGTTCTCCTTATCGGTGTTTTTCTGGATAAGGTGTTGGCGACGTTCCTTAATGTTTTTCCGGTTTGCTTGGAAACGGATGTAGTGAGTCTTGTCACGATTAACGCGCGTGAACTTGCGACGAAGTCCATGTTCATCCCGGAGAGTCTTCTCGACCTCTGCACGGGACTCACGTTCTCTGTCCATGACAACCGGTCATGGATACTGGGTAAACCACGTCTTTTTCAGAACGGTGGTTACTCCGTCTGCTGTCTTGGAGCAGCCCTTGGTAGTTCGTTGGTCCAATGAATCTACGAAGTTCCTTCCTGTTGGTAGGAAGAGCGATAGCTGGATCACATCTGTTATCCTTTTTTAGTTAAGGGTTGGATTCCTTCTCGAGTAGTCCAACTGTCTAGATACTCCAGTTCTTCCTTTTCGAGGAAGGCCTTGGTAGTGTCGATTTCAACCCCGACTTCTTGAAGTCTTTGGAAAAGGTCGTCTAACTATTCAACGCGATCTGCCAGATCGACGTCAGTTAGGATGAGTTGATCATCAATGTATGCACGGACATTTTCTAAGTCATGCATGCGTGCTTTCATCTTCCTTTGGAAGATGTCGGGACTATTACATAGGCCCATTGGTAACCTCTGGTACTCGTGCTTTCCCCTCGGGAGTGCAATGGTACAGTGTTGCTTCGAGTGAGGTGACAGCTCGATGTGGTAGTGTCCCGTGTTCAGGTCTAGACTAGTAGCGCACTTGAATCCATTTAGGTTCAAGAGCATGTCCTGTATTTTTGGGATAGGATAAGGCTTCCGCTTGATCCTTTTGTTCGGTTCCCGAAAATCAGAGATGAATCGTACAGATCCCTTTTTCTTGGGAATGATAAAAGTTGGTGCCGTCCACTCGGAGCGATTCACCTTCTTGAGTACTCCTGCCTCGCAGAGACGTTCAACCTCCTTCTTAAGAGTGTTGGTATGGACCCGTGGAGTAGGGTGAGCCCTAGTGTAATAGGATTTAGCGTCGGGACGAAGTTCTACTTCGTAGTCGTCCATTCGCAACTCTCCCCAAGTATCCTCGACTGGGCCGAAGCACTTGGTTGAAAAGGCATGAGGCAGTTCTTGCTCTTCCTTATTTAACTGGTTTCGACTCTGGCACATCTGCCTTAAGTCTGCTTGTTCGTATGTCGTATCAAGAATCTTCTTGAGACTATCTGCATTGTCGCTGACAGCTGCAGGATCGGGAATGGAGAAGTTCTCCTTTCTATCGGTATCGCCATCTTTCGCAGGGAAAAATACGCTGTTCCACTCCAATGACATGGTAGTGAAATCAAACTTGATTCTTAGGTCGAAGAGAGTGTCTTGACCTATGATCATGTCTTGCGCCCCCAAGTTCTTGGTGACGTGCAAATTCCATTCGATAATTCTATTATCGTGGAACTCAGGAATCACGAGTGTGCCCTTACACTGCTAATGTTTGGACGCCCCCATGATTCTTCATGAGTAAACTCTTAGCATGAGTTTGAGTAATTAAAGTTCCGGATGCTCCTGTATCCAGTAAGCAACAGAGTGTAACGGGTTTTTGTTTCCCTTTCTCTCGTCTGTTAAATCTAACATAGACGATAGTTTCGAGGTCTCTTGTCTTGCGACGTTGATGAGTTGATTGGCCATGGACGAAGTTAACGATGCTGAACAGATCGTCAGAGTCTAGTTGAGTAGTTGCTAGGCAATTATCTAATTTGCCGTAGACTTCATTAGTTGCAAACAAATCTTGTTTACTATTTAGTGAGATATCTTCATCACTTAGGTATGAGAAATCGGAACATGGTTCCGTTGAATCATCATCCTGGCCTAATCCTCAGACGGAGATCTCTCCATCCGAATGATTGAAGTCGAATTCGGCAAGCGCCTTGTGCAATACACGGCTCTTAGCCTTATTCGCGACTCGATCCTAGATAGGGTTTGAGTTCGACTCATGACTGAGCCTCTCGTTGGCAAAGTCTTGAGGTCAGCTCAAGACAGGTTTCAAGGTAGTTTGGGTGCAAATAGCAGGTGCTATCAGGTGCAATAGGTACAATCCTTTGTCCAGTTGAGGCTGCCCTTGCATGAGGTACAAGGCCAGATGTTGTGAGTTGAAGTGAAGAACCAACCTCCATCTTGGTTGACAACAGTCAGTTGTCAACAACCTACATTTGCCGTCCTCCTCCCTCAAGAAGAAGCACCATGCTGCGCCTACCACAAGTGCAGGGAAGCTGTTGCCATAGGTGTTGCCAGGGTTGGGAGATCGCATCAGGATGGAACCTCGCGGATATGGGTACCAAGCTCTTGGACCCCACAAGATGTACCGCTCTGCAAGCAGGTACTTTACTGGCGATTTGATGATTGAAGAGCCACCTTACCCCTGTATGTTTGTTCTCTGTGTTTGTGCCACCAACCCAAGGGAGTGACAGGAGTTGGATTTGAGCCAAATGATGTGAAAACATTACGCTGGCTTCCCACTGTGTCTGTCTTTGTGTGTTTACACAGTAGTGCTGTTTCTCAGCTTTCTGTCCCTGGAACAAGTTGCTGCCTGGAAGTGTTTACTCTGGGATATTGTATGTTGGCCTGTGCTCTAAGTCTTTAGGCATGACTCATAGTATCTTTGGGCATGACCATAAGTATCTTTGGGCAAACTCCTAGATGATGGAAGATACTATGAGGTCTTGGGACAAGCATGATTACTATATGTTTGATGACATTATGAAGTCCTGGACTATGAATGTACCTATATATCAATGTTTGGTGGTCAGGGAGTCTGGATGAAGTTTATATGCAAAGAGTGGCTGAAGTCCTGTTTTCGACCTGTAGGAAGTCCCATTTCGCGGCCATTCGAAATTGCCACTGTATTTGACTTTAGGAGCCCTGTGTGCCCACAATTCTTAGTTTAGCATAACAAATAAGTGTACCTGTTGACCA